GGGGGGTCAAATAACCTGCAGTTTTCTGCATGCTCGTGTCTCACATGTAGCTGTAGTAGCCCTGCAGCAGCAGCTCTCTGTACGTGTGAAGCTGCTGTACGATCCTCTTGTACTGGTGGACTATTCCCACTGTTACCTGAAGGAGAAGCCAACAAACCATCAATGAATTGCTGATGATAAAAAAATGGAAAAATGTAGCAGTACCTTGGAGAAATTATAATCCGTCACCACGTCAAACCTGGATGGGATTGGGGGCGTCTCCGCTGCATAGAAAGGATTATTATCATATTATTGAAGTCATTGTTTATGTTTCAGACCAAAAGAATAAGAACGCGAGTCGCCTCACGTTCTCTGAAGGGCAGGCTGGTGTTGGTTTCCGGCGCGCTGCTGAGCAGAATAAGAGGCTGAGACGCTGAAGTACAGGGAAGGTTCACCACCTTCATGGCGCCCTCCAGAACCAGGTCATGACCCAGGTACATGAGCTGCTGCTGCTGGATGCCAATACCAGTCTGGGCCGCCACCTCTTCAAAGAACACCGACACTCTGTGGAGCGCCAGAGGAGACATGTTTGGGTTTATTTCAGCCATATAGTTTTGTCAGTTTGAGAAAACAGCTGCGATACGTTGCTGCAGTTTCCAAACTCCTCTGGCCCGGGCTCTTTCTGCATGGAGTTTGCACGTTCTCCCTGAGCATGTGTGGGTTCTCTCCTGGTACTCCCGCTTCCTCCCACAGTCCAAAAACATCACTGTTAGGTTAACTGGTTTCTCTAAATTCTCCTTAGGTGTGAGTGTGTGCGTGTGAATGGTTGTATGTCTCTGTGTTGCCCTGATACGGACAGGGGACCTTTCCAGGGTGTACCCCGCCTCTCGCCCATAGACAGCTGGAGAGGCACCAGCACCCCTGGGGTTTAAAGAGCCATATTTATCTTTTGATTGTATTTCAAGTAAAATATTAGCCTCTAAAAACGGATCTGTTCTGTATAATAATATTATACTCATTAGACTCATTAGATGGCATCAAGTCTCTACAGTTCAAAGTAAATGTATAACACCCCGGTTAGATGCTAAATGTTCAGTTATATATATATATTTTTTCATTTTTAATCGTTGGTTATGTCTCACTTTTGCATTGTATCTCAGTTTAACAAGAATGTTGGTCACCTTATGAGCGCGAGTATTTAAAGGCACGTCGCTGACTTTGTGACCTAAAGAGTTGATGCATATGAGTTATTTTAAATGATTTCTCGGGGCCAATATATAGCACTTGACACTATCAATGCTACAAGCGGGGCTCCCCTCTTGAAATACCAAATATGTAAGTTGGGAGAAGATGCACCGCCATTGGCCAGGTCATGTGACCTGGAAGAACATATGGCTTTACGGCCACAGGCTTACATCGCCATGGAGCTAAGGCTTTTACTCTACTATTTTTCCGCCTACTATACTGGTCATGGCTGAGGCAAGGAAAAAGTTTAAACCTTCTGAGTGTTGGGATCTGGAGGTCTGTCCACTTTCTCCACCAGAGGGCGTACGAGATCTCCTGGAGCCGGAGCTGATTGCACCACCTGTCTCTCATCTGCTCATCAGGAGATCCGTATTTAAGGAGGCGGAGGGCTTC